AAAAGTTATCAAATACTTACATAAATACTGGGTTATCCTTAGCTCTAGAAATGCTTAGACATCATGTTTTATTCCAATGTATTTATGGCAATGCCATCTTAAGCAAGTAGTTCCTTTCTCATATAATTTCCCATATACATTCTCAATCTAGCAAACACACAATAACATTGTGTAATACTTCCAATACAATGTTCAATAAGCCACAGGCTCAACTGAGTGGAGAATTTAAAAGATTTTTTTTAAAATTATTATTCCTTTGAATTGGGTTTTCCTCTTCTTTTATGTTTCACAAGCACAAGAAAATCTCAAATTCCACATAAACCAAACAACAGAGAACCAGAATTTTGAGCAATCTCAAGCAACCATATTAATCCCAAAATCTCAGAGAAAAAACAGCAAAAAATGAATCTATCTTTGAAGATTCAGAAACTGAAATATTCATGGAGTCAAAAAATGAACAGAAATACCTAGGATGCAAGCGATTGAAATAGGCTTCTAATTGTTCTATGAAATCAGGAGCAGAAGCTTCTTCATGGCCACTTCCCACAAGCCTGTCAAAGAATTTCATAAAACCAAGAAACCATAAGGCTTTATGAAAACCTAGTTTTTGCTCAGTATTTTTGCCCCTCTATAGCTATGGTTGATTTAGTAGGTTTTCCCCAATTTTTGTAAATTAGGGTTTTGGAAGCCATGGAAGAGGTTCAGGACAAGCATGTGATTTTTAGGAACTTCATCATTGGATTGCCCAAAGAGACGGACATAGAATTGAGGACTTCAAATCTTACACTGAAAGTTACAGAGGATTCCAGAGTTTTGGTTGTGAAAAATCTGAACCTCTCTAGCAAAGGGTTTCATATCCTTGGTGATGGCCTAGTTGAGCTGCAAAGAGGTTGAGGTGCCAAGAAAAGAGGCTGGCAGAGCCTTGGTGAGAGCCTAGTGGAGTTGCAGAGAGGTTGAGGTGCGAAGAAGAGAGGAGAGTAGCGTGAGGAAAATTTTTTTTGGGGTGGAGCGTTTTTATCGTGCGAAGGTCCATTACAAACTTTTTTTTTTTTTAAGTTACGTGGTTTTCCACATAACTTTTTTTACGTGTAAAAGAGGGAATAACAACAATACAAATAAGTTTTTTAAAAATCTTACTTTTTTTTATCAAATACAAAAGGTGAACAGTAAGATTTTTAAAAATCTTACTTTTTTTATCAAATACAAAAGGTGAACAGTAAGAGGTAAGTTTTAACTTCTGGTAAGCAACTTTCTGTTATCAAACACGCCCTTAGAGTTAGTAGCATGTCCTACAACTTCTATACAATTAGGGCGTGTTGGATAACATAAAGTTAGTCTCTAGAATATGGAACTTACCTGCTACTATTTATATTCTGTGTTTGATAAAAAAAAAGTAAGATAAAAGAGAACTTCTTTTTACTATTCATGTTCCCACTTTTACTCTTGGAAAAAACTTCATGGTCAACCATGGAACTTGAAAATGGAAGTTGCTATTTCTTTTTCCCCCCAATAAAACATTCACCCCTCTTCGCACCTCTGCCCTGAGGAAAAAACATTTCTTCACCCCTCTCTTCGCAATAGC